TTGTTGTGTGTGATGGCTTGTGCTTGGGCACAGGACACCACAGACGTGCCCGAGACCACTGAAGCCAGCACCACCAGTACCACCACACAGGTCCCTATCCTGCGGCAGGTCAACGAAGTCAACGAGGACGGGACCTACACCTACGGCTTCGAGGCCGCCGATGGAACCTTCAAGCTGGAGACCCGCGACGAGAACGGCAACGTCAAGGGCAAGTACGGCTTCCTGGACGAGTTCGGAGAGCTCAAGATCGTCGAGTACAGCGCCGGGAACGAGACGGGCTTTGCGCCCACGTCCGATCTCCTGCCCAAGCCTGTGCCCGTCCCTGAGGTTCCACAGATTCCCCAGCAGCTGCCGAACATCCCCACTCTTCCGAGGCCCCAGTTCAACCCACAGCGGGTGCCACAGCCCCAATTCGCTCCCCGCCCACAGCCCCAACCTCAGCCTCAATTCGCTCCCCGCCCACAGCCCCAATTCGCTCCCCGCCCACAGCCCCAATTTGCTCCCCGCCCACAGCCTCAACCACAGCCCCAGTTCGTTCCCCAACCTCAGCCCCAATTTGCTCCCCGCCCACAACCGCAACCTCAGTTTGTTCCCCAGCCCCAATTCGCCCCTCGCCCCCAACAGCCCCAGTTCGCTCCCCAGCCTCAGCCCCAATTCGCCCCTCGCCCCCAACAGCCCCAGTTCGCTCCCCAGCCTCAGCCCCAATTCGCCCCTCGCCCCCAACAGCCCCAGTTCGCTCCCCAGCCTCAGCCCCAATTCGCCCCTCGCCCCCAACAGCCCCAGTTCGTGCCCCAGCAGTTCAGAGCTCAGCCCCAAGTGCCTCAGCGCCCAGTCAACGTGGAACTTGACGGCTTCTCGGAGGACACGAACCAAGACGGCTTCGTCGACGGTTCTCCCGAGGAGGCTGCCAAGGGAAAGCCTGTGCTGCCTTCAGGAACTTCTCTCCTCCCAGCTGGTACCTCCTCCCTCCCAGCACCTCAGCCTGTGCAGCCTCGCCCTCAGCCACAGTTCGTACCTCAGCAGATCCCACAGGGATTTAACAGGTTCGTTCCCCGTCAGCCTCAGTTCACCCCGCAACTGACAGCCCAGCAAATCCAGCAGTTGCAACAGCAACAGATTTTGGCTGCTCAGCAGGGACAAGTCCCTCAGCAGTTCATAGCTCCACAGTCTGTTCCACAACAGTTCGTACCCCAACAGCTCGCTCCTCAGCAATTTGCAGGTCAGCGTTTTGTTCCCCAGCAGTTTGTTGGACAGCAGCAATTTGTGCCTCAGCAGTTTGCCGGACAGCAGTTTGTGCCTCAGCAGATCGCCCAACAACCTCAGTTCCGCCCCGTGGCCCCACCACAAGGGGCACCAGCACCTGCTGAGGCCTAAGTAATTCGTCTTGTAATAATTTCTATTTATTACTTCCTTTTGGCCGATAGATATCCTTTTAGCGTTCAAAAATTATTATGGCTATCTGTATATAGCAGTCCTTGTAAAACCAAATGTAAATAAAATGTGATTTTCTACCAAAATTCTTTATCTATTAATTTCTCACCCTATATATTCTGTATTTTTTAAGAAAAAAAAATCAAATCCGAAGAATATGAACGATATGTGGTTATTTTCCATTTTATGTTGATAAGAATGATTTATTCACCTCTCATGACTCATGCAAAATGATATTGATGATAAAGATGCTGATGGAATTATGATAATGCTAACAGTAACACTATTCAAGTAAAAAAATGGACACATTCCACTATATCAGACACTACTAACTTCGTGGATTGTAGAATTCCTTAATCAGAAATTATCAAATAAACCGTATTTTCGTTATGTAATTAAGTTGATTTGCTTTCACTCATGATAATGTCAGAAGAAAGCCCTGATAATGTTAGATATAGTGTCAGAATAGAGATTATGTAGCTTCATACTTCGCTCTAGTATTATACTTTTTTCTCATTCTGTGTAAACATACATGGAATGTTGTGTTTGCATGTTAGCTGGGCTTTCTTTCAGTTATGATTTCGTGTTCTCTGAGCAATTTTAGTTTTCATCTACAAAATTGAGATATTCTTTTATACGATGCATATATGTTCTTATGCGCAGTTTACACTTGTAAAACACCTGAATTATTTTGGTATACTCGACTGAAATTCTCTGTTACAGTCATGCAGTGTGAACAAGAGATTTCTTGTTATTAAATAATCTTAACTCACTGGCGTCGAGAAGCTGTAAAGTTCGCTGAAGTTTTGTTTTGCGAAATGCGTCTATACATAGATTCATCCACCAAGGAGTCAATTAGTAGACCTCGTAACATCACCTGATATCCCGTTCCTTGAGTTTTCGAAAAAAAATCTAATGCTATTAATACCGATGTCGATACCACTATTACTGACGTTATGGTTAGCACAACGTTATTAATAATATTAATGACAAAATGAAATAAAAGAATAATATTTCCAATGATCAAGTAAAAGGGTAAACAAGTGAAATAGGTAGGGCTAGTGATGAG